CTGCTCTAATATAACACTTCCGTTTGTGCCATCGGCCTTTGTAGCATGTGCCTTTGTAACCTAAATAGAAAAGCTGTCAACTTGCCTATGCAGGGCAAAGTCAGGGTCTATTCAAAGGGTTCCTCCTGACCTCTTACACTCATCCTAATACTGCTGCTTCTCTGCTGCCATCCACCCTGGCCTGGGGGAGTGATTTCACTGACACTCATTTTAGAGATATAGCAATTCTGAACATGGTAGAACATGCTGTTTTTATGGTAGTTTACAATTAAAAGAGACGTAAAACCAAACCTTTACTTCTCTTTTGGGTCACAGAAATACATTAGTAAATGTACTAATATTTATATGTCAAAATATATAAGAACTCTGAACTTTCTTGCCTTATGTAATAGATGCATTGTGAAACATATAGAAGTATTCTTTAAAAAGGAAATATAGGTCTAAATTAAGACTAAAATGCTTTTGAAACGCCTGTAGAATTGGTTTGCGTTAGACACGTTTTAAATGCATTTCAGAGGCATATGCAATTTGTAAAGCTCTCTGCACACCTGGATTTTTGATGTGGATGAGGAAAATAAGGAAAAGAGCCTTGTTGTAGCTCTGCACAAACTCCTGTCCCTTCAATTGACCTAAAGTTGTAAGGTCTACCAAACAGTAAAGGCAAGATAGATCAAAATTAATGCAAAGTATTGCAAAAGTGCTGTGTACACTGGGCCATTTACTACCATGCTCTTCTCCCTAAATTGCTTACTCTTTTAACTTGTTCTCCTTAGAGAAGAGATGCCTGACAAAAGATATGATTGCAATATACATTCCCATCAATGGGAAGTGCAAATTCGGGAATTAACTGTTTAAACTTTGAAAAGGACTCGAGGGCACAACAGGTGGAAAGCATTGATAACTTCAAAAATACAAAGAGACGAATTACTGAATGTGTGTGTATACTGTGTGTGTGTGTGTGTATGTATGTATGTATGTGTGTATGTAAGCTTGTAAGAAATTAAAGGTCTATAATTTGTTATCATAGGTGTATTTTAAATGATAGAGACAGAATATCAACCAAAAGTCCAGAAAAGAAACACATGATATAAAAGTTATAAATTGAGTTGCAGTTCAGTGAGTAAAATAAATATTTGATCCCCTAGCAACCAACAAAAATTCTGGCTCGCACAGACTGGCTGTGTGGTACACAGATTAGTCCTGTCAATTTTAGGAAGGCGCTCTGAACAACAAGTCATTATGTATATAAAAAAACACTTGTCCACAGAATCTCTATCTTCCATACAAACCTCACCACCACGGGCAAGACCAAATAGCTGTCAAAGGATGTTAGGGACAAGATTGTAGACCTGCACAAGGCTGGAATGGGCTACAAGACTATCAGCAAGAAGTTTGGTAAGAAGGAAACAACTGTTGAAGCGATTATTCCCTAATGGAAGGAATACAAAATAACCAATTGCCCTCAGTCTGGAGCTCCATGCAGGATTTCGCCTCATGTGACAAGGATGATCATGAAAAAAGTGAGGGATCAGCCCAGAACTACACGGGAGGAGCTTGTGAATGATCTCAAGGCAGTTGGGACCACAGTCACCAAACAAACCATTGGTAACGCAATACACCGCCATAGATTGAGATCCTGCAGGTCCCCCTCCTCAAGATGGCACGTGTACAGGCCCGTCTGAAGTTTGCCAATGAACATCTAAATGATTCCAAGACGGATTGGAAGAAAGTTCTGCGGTCAGATGAGACCAAAATTGAGTTCTTTGGCCTTAACTAGACTCGCCGTGTTTGGAGCAAGAAAAATACTGACTATGACCCTAAGAACACCATCCCTACAGTCAAGCACGGAGGTGGAAACATTTGGGGCTGTTTCTCTGCTGAAGGTGCAGGCCGACTTTGCCACATTGAGGGGCCAATGGATGGGACCATGTATTGTAAAATCTTGGATGAAAACCTCCTTCCCTCAACCAGAACAATGAAGATGGGTCGTGGATGGGTCTTTCTCATCCATGACAATGACCCAAAACATACCGCCAAAGTAACAAAGCAGCGGCTCAAGAAGAAGCACATTGAGGTCATGGAGTCGCCTATTCAGTCTTCCGACCTTAACCCTATAGAAAATTTATGGAGGGAGCTGAAACTTCGAGTTGCCTTGCAACAGCCAAGAAACCTTAAGGATTTAGAGAAGATCTGTAAAGAAGAGTGGACCAAAATCTTTCCTGAGATGTGTGCAAACCTGGTAACCAACTACAAGAAACGTCTTACCTCTGTGCTTGCCAACAAGGGTTTCTCCACAAAGTACTAAGTGATGTTTTGCTTGGGGATCAAATACTTATTTTACTCATTGAACTGCAAACATTTGTATCATGTGGTTTTTTTTTTCAGGATTTTTGGTTGATATTCTGTCTCTATCGGTTAAAATACACCTATGATAAACATTATAGACCTTTCATTTCTTTGTAAGTGGGCAAACTTACAAAATCTGCAGGGGATCAAATAATTATTTTCCACACTGTAATGTGTATATTTATTACACACACACTTATAGGTTGAACTTGATGGACCTTTATTAACCACTTCAAGACCAGGTGTTTAGACCCCCTTCCTGGCCAGGCCATTTTTCAGTATTCAGCGCTGCGGTACTTTGACTGACGTTTATTCTGTCATGCAACGCTGTACTGAAATGAATTTTATACCGTTTTTTGGGGACAGATAGAGTTTTCTTTTGGGGGTATTTAAACACCACTGAGTTTTAATTTTTTACTATAATTAGGAAAAATTGCAGAAAATTTTGAAAAAAATACGTTTTTTTTTTTTACATTATGTTAGGAAACATTGATTTTTACCCAGTTTTTTGGTAAAATATAAGATCAGGTCACGTCGGGTAAATAGACACCAAACATGTCATACTTTAAAATTGCGCGCACCCGCGAAATCGCAAGAAACTACCATACCCAAAATTGGCCATAGGCGACGCTTTAAAAGCTTTTACCGCTCATCAGTTTAGTGTTATCAGTGATTGATGGACCTAGACTTATTGCACTCACTCCGACGTTCGCGGTGATATGTAACATGTGCGGCGTAATCGTCTTTTTTGCACGTATGCGCCCCCGACGCATGTTTGCATGCGTGTATGTATGGGTTGGGATTTTAAAATGTTTATTCTTTTTTATGTGTAACTTTTAAAAAATGTCACTAAACTTTATTGCTATCACATAAGGGGGCTAATTAAACTCCCCTATGTGATAGCAAAATATGTGACAGGCCCTCTTTATGGAGACATCAGGGGTCTCCAAGACCCCTAATGTCACCAAAGACCCCCCAAAAGAAGCTGAAGCACAGATCTGCTCCATCAGCTTCTTTCCAGCTTTTGAAGCTGGAGAGTGACACAAAAATGCAGAAGTAATGTATTATAAAACACTTCTGCATTCTTGCAGTGGAGAGGGGACTGGAGGGAGCTTGTGTACCGAGCTCCCTCTGATCCCCTGTGACACAGGCGCCATGCTGATCCCGGGCACAGCGGACCCCGGGATCAGCGGGACAACGGAGGGGACGACCGATCGGCACACCATACACGCGATCTGCCGGCTCTACAGCCGGCAGATCGCTTGTATGGTAACAGGCATCGCTGCCTGTTTTTAAATACCGGCCATTTGCCGGGCGGCGTGCGCGAGGGGGGCGTGTCTGAGCGGACGTCTAAAGACGCCCGCTCAGATCTAGAGACCTCTCGGCCGGCCGTTTTTCTACGCCGGCCCTGAGGTGGTTAAACCTTACCTTCTATGGTTTCAAAGCAAACTGAGCTTCTCACAGTGCATTAGAAGTTGTAGCAGTTCAGATAGAGCCTGCCTCAATTCTTGGCTTGAACACCATCCAGCCCTTTACTGTCCCTGACCCTCCCCTTTCATGCAGTGGATTTCAGTTTTTTCAATCATGGAGGCTCCGCATCACATGTGGATGTTGCCTAGCTCTGCCTTACAATGTCCGCTTTTCCACACTGCCAGCCCACTGCTTGCATCAGGGCTGAGGGTCCTTGTGATGAGTACTGAGGCAGGGTACCGAGTTGTTTTCAGTGTGCTATGTACCGCACCCTGTTAGCCCCTCCTCCAGTCACAATCTTCCTCCATTGCATAGAGAATCACGGAGAGATGTTCTCAGTGGGTCTAAATTAAGGTATACAATGAAAATAGATTTGATTTAAAAATGTTATTTGCATGTTGATTAGGAGGGCACGAAGGAACCAGTGGAGGCAAAATATAATTAGGATACACTTGAGCTTTAAACATAATAATGGGAATTTATCAAAAATGGAGCAGGCAAAACCTGGAGCAGCTGTGCGTGGCAACCAATCAGCCTCTCATTTTCAAATCTTAAAGGATCACTCGTCCTCATAATTCGAGCTTACGTGTGACTATGAAACTGTCACAGGTCGGCTCAATAGATCAGGAAGTGAGCGAATACATACTGTTGCTCGCTCACCTCTCGATCCTGTCCCTGCAGAGAGCCGTGACTGTCACTCACAGCTCCCTGCAGGGATTCCCCCCTCCCCTGTCCGATCCTCCAGCGCTGACTGGGGGAGGGGGTGGGTACAGCTCGCTCTGCCTCTAGATAGGCAGAGCCAGCTGTTAATCACGCAGCTGGGTGGATCCAGACAGTAATGTTTGGATCCGTCCCGGCTGCGGTGGTCTCGGTATACCGCGAGTTGTAGCTCGCGGTATACTGAGCTTTGAGCCAGGGGAGGACGCTAGTTTGTGTCCTCCCGTGACCCTTAGGAGAACTATGGGGAAAAGCACTGACCCCAAAGTTCTCCTTTAACTGAAGAGAGAAGATGATTGGTTACCATGCAAAGCTGCTCCAGATTTTTTCTGCTCCAGTCTTCATAAATTCACCCCAATGTATTTATCTCTGTTGAAGCTAAATTTATATTTTGTTCTTTCTAGTATTGAATGATCTGGCTTTGATGTTTTTGTGTAATGTCTGCTTAATGATTTTTTTGTGTGCAGAGGATCAGCTTCCTCCTGGCTTTCCAAATATTGATATGGGCCCCCAGCTTAAGGTTGTAGAACGTACAAGAACAGCTACTATGTTGTGTGCTGCTAGTGGAAATCCAGATCCTGAAATCACCTGGTTTAAAGACTTCCTTCCAGTAGATCCCGCTGCCAGTAATGGAAGAATCAAACAGCTAAGATCAGGTAAGGGAGAAAAAACATTGAGAATAAAAATTCAGATGTTTAAATTGCTGCAAACAAACAATATTGTAACAGGTGAATATACTGTATATAAATGATCATTTATTTTATGTAGTATATACTTTTAGTACAAGCATGGTAGAACAATGCAAGCTGACATTGTTAACATTTAATCTACAAGCTCCCAGCCTGCCAAATGCTCCAGCATTACGTTGTGATATGTTATTGACTCTAAATAGAGGATGCAGCTTCATATTTGCAATGCTTCACAGATGCATTTCTTTTGAGTATGATTCCTTTTTTTGACTGCACATGGTCCAGGTGCATCTAAAACAACACAGCAGTAGTGAAATGCTGTGGATATGTATTACTCATACATTCAAAGAACTTAAAATTAATTTTAGAAGCAGTAAATTAATTTTTTTACATACATACTACCATTGGAGTGTAAACATTTGGGCCTCATTCAAATGGGCGTGTACGCCTGTGCAAAGACCTCCTCTCGGGAGGGACAGGTACAGCTTTTTGACAGGATGCGGCTAAATGCTGACCTGAACCTGCACATTCATGCAGGTCCAGGTACATGCACTTTGCAGACAGTTTACGTCCAAGTGCATGCACACAGACATGTAGCCACGTGCAGCCAGGTCCTGTCATAAGGATGTAGAGGTGGCTGCAGGCAATTAGAGGCTGCACTTGTCCCTCCTGCAAGGGGGTCTCTGCCCATGTGGATAAGGCCTAAGCAAGGAGGTTTTCATGATGCACTGTACCTGGGCATGCCAAATAATATTTTAAATGACACCAACAATTTAATGTAATATTGAAGGTTAGGATTAATCCATATGCTTGCAAACTAGTAAATTAATGTTTTGTTTACTTAGTAAATTGTTGTATTTTCAATCTCTACCCATGGAGATACATTTATATTAACTGTTTTGAAGGAATGAAAAAAAGTGAAAAGTATCTAGAAATCCATGCATATTATCTATTGCTTGGAAATCATGTTATATGCAGTTAAATTTGCAATGTGTTAAGTGGATGCAGCCAGTCAAATCATTCACTGGCTTATTATGTTTCGCAGCTTACTTGCAAGATTTCCTTCCAACGTTCCTGTATTTTCTTCCTGTTACCACTCTTGCTCTCCCATTGTAATCTTCCCCGATAACCTTCATGTAAATGGGTCTACGAACGTCAACACAGAGATCCTACATCTAATAATTTGTGTTATTTTAATGCTCTGCGCCCTCAGAAGTTTTTTTTTTCTTCTACACATGTGCTGCGGCACAACGCACAGTATTGCACTACTATGAATTGTGGTGTGTTGGAAAAAAATAGCACGAAATGTGTGCCTTACTGTAATCCATGGTTGTTTCCCTTCTCTTTGCTGCTCTTCCTTTTAAATCCTCATGATTTCTCATGCTTGGGGAGAACTTCCCTTTTCAGCTCAGGGCCTCTTCCTGTAATGCTGGCTCAGGTTACAAGCCTATACAAACGGATACACAGACATCATGTATCCATTCCTGAGACAAGGCAGTCTGGTGCAAAACAGAAGTTCTCCCCAAGCATGAGAACAGATACAGATTTAAAAGGAAGAGCAGCAAAGAGAAGGGAAACAACCATGGATTACAGTAAGGCACACATTACAGTATTGTTTTATGTTAAAAAATCTGAGGGTTTAATGTCACTTTAACGCTAATGTCTCTTAATGTGTGACATAATGCGTGTTAACGCAGCCCACTGGAATGGACAAGTTTGAATAAACCCTACGATAGAGAGATGCTGCGGTGAAAATGGTAAAGAGATATTTAAAACATCTTGCCATAGTCTGCAAGTTTTTTGTATGTAGCTATGCCAAATGGGCTACACTATTTATTGCATCATCTTCAACCAAGCACTGTGCTGTCTTGCTGGTTTTACTTAATTGAAACTATTGTGTGTGTTTGGTGAGTACACTCAGAAGACTGTCTAAATTTCTGTGGATAGCTTTAGGTTAGTCATAAACAGGAGTTGACACTCCCGAGTCCAGCCGTTTTTCAGTGTAAACAGTTATTTTTAACATAACATTTACTAAAGGATAAGCCACACAAATTAGTGCCTAAGTTAACCCAAAGACTTATCTTGACATAAAAATAGCAGTGAATCAATTAACTTTATTAGTAACCAGGAAGAATAACTTGGTAAGTGTTTATATAATGTATGCCATATTGCCTAGCCTGTATGTCCTATCATCTTCAAGTATGCACTGTCTTACAACAAACTTGTCGTTGAAAAAATAGTTTTTCTGCCATTCTTTAACAATTTACCACTTTTGGAGGGGTCTCTACTCCTAGTCAGTACATACCTGCAATGCAAGAACTGCCATGTGCCTACACCAACAAAATAATTATTAAAAGTACATGTAAACCCTAACTGAATGTCATTTAGTTTGCCACAGCGTCATGTATCCTAAACAATTACCATGTTTTTAATGTGATTTAAAATGTGTTTTTTTTCCTCCTCATTCTTTCTTGTATATCCACACTGCTGATTTTCTCTAGGTTCTTTGTAGCCAGCTCCTGTCTGCATTAATGCACTCCAGTGATTGCTACATCGCACTTCTTAGGGTTGTTTTCCTGATGTTGATAACTGTGGCCTATGCCTGCATAATAAACATAATTTGGTCTGCTTGTACTCTCCATTGCGAGAGCGTGTGAAAGGGTAATAACACAGGAGAACAATTGGGAGACAGGAACAGAGCGTTGTTGCCCTATAAGGCTGGATTCACACCCAGGCAACACTTAGAATGTGCTTTTTTTCAAGCGTTTTCTATTGAGTCTGTGGAACAAAACGTGTTGAAATCTGCCGCAAAGTAGCTCTTCTGCCGCAAAGTACTTTTTCAAGCGTCAGGAGTATTTCTGCTTGCCACAAAACTCATAGGTGTGAACAGGGGCCATAGAAATGAATGGGATTCCTTGGGTGGAACGTTTTGTCACGCTGAATCAGCTGCCACAATACACCTAGGTGTGAATAGAGCCTTACAGGAAGTGCCTGATCCATTGGCTTGATCACTAGGATTTTTTTTGGTGAACGTTGCAGATTTAAAGATGTTGATAATTATAATTTAACTTGTTAAAACTTATAAGCATTTAGTGAGTGGGTTTACATATGCTTTTATTTTTTTTATTTGAGTCAGGTTTTCTCTGTGTGACATAATTCTTAAAGCATAGTGTGTATCTCCCTAAACCAAGCACGGTACTGTATGCTTATATTTGTGTTTGTTAATTTGAGTAAACGTGTCGCTGGGCCATGGGCATTCAAGTATTTTCATTTTCTTAACAAGCGGCAAATGTTCTTTAAATCATGCCCTCACTATATTCACGACATACACATATTACGGATGCACCGATGCTAATACTAGTATCAGTGCCAATACCGAGTATTTGGGCAAGTAGTCGTACTCGCCCAAATACTCGATGCCTAGCCCGATGCTTGAACTTCCGATATCAGGAAGCCGGACATGGAGTCATGGAGCCGGCTTCCCGGCAAATCAGGAAGCCGGGTGCTGTTTAATGACTCGCTTCCGGTTGGTTATATCTGTGAGAGGGGAAAACAGCTGCTGAGAAACCATCTATTGATACAGATGCACAGCCTTTGTTTTTAACTTTCAGTATGAATTGCTGCACAATTCATGCAGCTACAGAAGTCAGTAATGTTTTTTTAAAAAAAAAAGTTATTTACTGCTTGTTAAGAATATGCAATACTTGAAAGACTTATAGCCTGGCCATAGGTTCAGTTTCAGGTCCTTTTAGTTGTGTTGTATTTTTTTTTTTTTTGAAACTTTCTTCTTCTAAATGTCAGTCTCCCTTCCTTTCCCTTCCCACATAGTGGTGATGGTGCTTCTCTAAAATTACAAGCAGTCTTCCTTGTCTGATTGTTGCTGCCTTTTTTAAATGCTATTTTTGGATTGTCTGCCTCCCTGCCAAAGTGCTCTTTCTCTGATACTGCTACTGCTGAATGCCTATGCATCTTCTCCCTCCTCCCCATGCAAAACATTATTATAATTTAATAATTTGATATTTCCCTTTCAAAACTCACATTTCCCCTATTTAATCTCAACACTTCCTAGCTGTGTTTTATACTTCCAAAAAGAGGTTAGAGGTCTGTAAAAAAGTATTTTGCTTCAAAACCATATTGTTTTATTTTACAGTGTATGAAACAAGCTTGAAGATTAAATTAAGAAAATATTTAACAATTTCACTTACCTCAAATGAAAAGTCACTAACATCTGTCCAAAACTGGCGTTTGTGTATATATAACTTAGACCAATCATAATGACTATAATGGTACCATTACAGGGGTGCCCACAATTTTTCATCTGGAGATGTACTTTTCAAATGACGAGCTCAATGAGATCTACCAACGAAAAAACACCTTTATTTAAAAAACAAGTACATGAAAATTTTTACTGGGACTACTGCCTCTCTCTTGCTCGCTCGCTCGCTCTCCCCTGTATATGTCCTTCTCTGCTGTCTCTCTGTGGGCCGGTTCACCCCACAATGTCTGCGTTCCAGAGCGTTCGACCTCTGGAACGCAAGCCGGCCGACCCCCTGCGTTGAAGTCAATGACACCACTGCCATGTCCAACGTCTGCCCGCATTAGTGCCTGCGTTCCGGTCCAGAGCAATCTGCAAAAATGCTGCAAGCTCTGCAAAAATGCTGCAAGCACTAATGTACTTGCGTTCTGGGGCGTGGCTGCGGTGCCATTGACTTTAATGCACCGCCATGCTCCCTCCCACCCCTGAACGCAGGGAGCCAGCTGGCTTGCGTTCCATAGGCCGAACGCTCTGGAACGCAGACTTTGTGGTGTGGTGTGAACTAGCCCCTCTCTTCTCTCCTCTCGCTGCGGTCTCTTCTCTTTGCTGTCTCTGTGGTCTCTTCTCTCTCCTGGCTGTCTTTATCTTACCTGCATTGCAGCAGCTTCCTGGCTCTTCTCTCTTGTTGCACCGTCCTGTCCTCCCGCGGTGC